TGATGTTATTTAACTCCAGTGTTCCTCTCTTTAATTTTTTATCTGGATGACCTATTTATTGGAGAGAGTAGGGTATTAAAGTCATCCACTTTCACCAGGTTAGGGTCAATATGTGATTTTAGTTGTAGTAGTGTTTCTTTTATGAACTTGGGTGCCCTTACATTTGGTGTATATATGTTTAGAATTGCAATATTCTCTTGGTGGACTTTTCCTTTAATGACCTATATAGTGACCTTCCCTATCTCTTCTGATTAGTTTTGATTTGAAGTCTATTTTATCAGATATTAAAATAGTTATACTTGTTTGCTTCTTAGTTCCATTTACTTGAAATAATCTTTTCTATCCTTTTACCCTGAGGTGATGGCGATCTTTGATGGTGAGGTGTGCTTCATAGATGCAGCAGAAATATGGATCCTGTTTTCTAATCCAATCTGTTAGTTTGTCTTTTTCTTTGGGGAACTGAGACCATTGATAGAAAGTTACTGATAACAGTGTTTACTGATTCCTGTTATTTGTTGTGGTACAAATTCCTCCACCCTTCTCTCTCGATTTACTGTTCTGGAATTATTTATTATGTCCTCTTGGGTGTAGTTAACTTCTCTATAGACTGAAGTTTTCCTTCTAGTGCCTTCTGTAGACTGGACTGGTGGACAGAAATCTCTTAATTTTTTTTATTGTGTTTTTCTTTCCCTGTTTGCTGTGATTAGTAGTTTTCTGAGTATCGTGGGCTGGGCTGGAGTCCGTGCTCTCTCAGTTTGTAGACCATCCTTCCAGGCCTTTCTGGCTTTCATTTTCCACCGAAAAGGCAGGTGTTATTCTAATAGGACTCTCTTGATATGTGACTTGGCCTTTCCCCTTGAACTTGAAGCTTTTATATCATTTCTTATTCTATACATTTAGTGTTCTATTATGTGTCTGGGAGAATTTCTTTTCTGGTCCAGTCTATTTGGTGTTTGTATGCTTCTTGTACCTTGATAGGCACCTCCTTTTGGCTGGGGAAATATTTTCTTTAATTTTGTTAAAAATATTTTCTGTGCCTTTGAGTTAGGTTTCTTCAACATCCTCTACCCCTACCATTCACAGATTTGGGCTTTTTGTAAAATCCTGGACTTCCTGCATGTTTTGTACCTGGATTTTTTTTTCCAGGTATAACATTTTCTTTGACTGACCTATCCATTTCTTCTACCTTGTCTGCAAGACCTAAGGTTCTCTCTCCCATGTCTTTTAATCTGTTGGTAAAGCTTACCGGAGGCTTCTGTTTGATATCCTGAGGACCCTCTTTATATGTGAGCTGGCCTTTCTCCTTGAAATTGAAGCAGGTCTACGTGACTATTTCTTTGTTAAATCCTATTTCCATGTCTTGAATTGTTTCAACTATTTCATTCAACTGCATGTGTTTTCATGGTCTTAACTGAGGCATTTATTCATATCCTCTTTAAGGTCCTACAACATATTCACAGTTACTCTTTTGAAGTCCTTATCTTAGGCTTCAGCTAAATTGCTTTCCTTGGAGCTTATTGCAGTAGGGTTGCTAGTTTCTGGAGGAGGCACACCGGCTTAGCTGTTCATGTTTGGGTTTTTGCTTTGGGATCTGGGCATCTGGAGTTAGGATGTTTGTAGTGTCTGCTGTGTAGATATCTCTCTTCTCTTTGTTGGGTGTGGTTGGGTGCTCTATTCTTGGGTTGCTGTTCCTACTGTGTCTTAGCTAATTGTGGGGGCTGTGGGGTCCCTGGTAGAGTGTTTCTACAGGTTGGTGGGTGTCACAAAAGAATGGAAATGGGTTAGAAGACAAGGCTACAGGTAGAATTAGAGGGACCCTGGTTCTGTCTAGGATAACTATCAAATACAGAAACAAACATAATTTGTATAATAAAAGGAAGAATAGGAATTTGCCCTCTGTGCTCTTCTTTATGGTCAATCTACTATAGCACAGTGGTTCTCATGTCCACCAGGAACTTCTCCTCCTCAGACCTGAACTCGCATTATGAATCTGCTAATTCATCAGGGGGGAGGGGCTGCTTGAACCTGATCCCAGGACAGACGTTCATTTTCTTGGGCTTTAGGCTGGGAACGCAGATCAGCAGGGGTAACTGATGGTGAGACACTAGCCTGTACCCTACTAGGAGCTATGCACCTCTATTTCACGGTCACATGAGCCCGGCAGGACTGCATGTTCAGGGATGAAGGCTGCCACTGAGATGTTCGTTAGGAGAAGCTGCAATCAGTCAGTGCACAGTGTCAGGCTCCATGCTGCACCTACAGGGGCTTTACTTTAACAGCAAGTTTCCGTCTTGATATACTGGAGAAAAGGGTCTAACTTTCTTGTTGGTCTGCTGAAAAGTTCAAAGAAATTTAATTTCAGACTCAAGGAAGGCGAAGGCAAGGAATGGGAGAGGTGGCAACAGGTTATAGCAACAGACAAGCAGCTGGTCCAGCATGGCAGCCTCCTCTAGCTATCTGTTTTCTGTTAGTTTGGGAGCTTATTTTTCTCTCCACCCCAAGTCATGACCCAGTGTCTTCAAGGCTCACAGATAAACACCCAGCTGTCACCCCCACCTGCCGTTTTCCAGACTTCTTTCATGGTCCCCCCACATTCGTATTCCATGTCACCACTCTGTGGCCGTGGACCATGCCACTGCATGGAATCGGAGCTTCTTCTGTACGCACCTTGTCTGTCCTCCCAGCTGTTTGGACTCCCTATCCCAGCCCATTTGTTCTGCAGCTTCACTGAGCTCTCCAGAGTGGAGTTTCTTTTTCTCCCAAACCAAGTCACCTTTGCTTTCCTCCCTTTTCTTTCTCAGTGGCACTTCGTTTGAACTCATTTTTGCAGCTACTGCCTATTAAACAGGCTGCGTATTACTTGGCTATCACCCTGTGACTATGGGACGACAAGACCGCCACCTAGTGGTCAGAGGAGAAAATATGTGATATAATTTTGTAGCCTCAAAACAAAGTTTTAGATGACCCTGTTAAAGACGTGCTGGGATATAGCTCAGTGGCAGAACACTTACATAACATGTACAAGACCCTGGGTTCAGTTCCATCCCCCATTTTTCTTCCTTAATTTCCTCATGCCAGACTCTTCAGGAAATCCAACTGGACCAAAAATACATTCAATAGGCTCTGTCTCTCAGTGTCTGTAAATTCTGACTTGGCAGAAACATATGAAGAAACTAATCCACTTAATATAAACAAATTGGCCTGGCACTGGCCTAGCTATGTAGACATCAGCTTTTCTGAAAGAAGAAACTCCTGTCCTGATGATCTGAGGTCAGTCATGGGGACCCACATGATGAAAGGCGAGAACTAACTCCTGCAAGTTGTCTGACCTCCACACGTGTGCTGTAGTACATACATGCCCCCAAACAGATACACATAATAAGTAAATAAGATGTAATAAAAACATTTTAGTGAGAGATTTAAGGATAGAATATCAAATGCTAAATGTGCTGATTGTCTCACCATAGTGTAGAACATCTCTTTATCTGACCAAATTTCCTTCTGACCCATGCCCCGAGGATCTGGATTTATACCATCTATGTAAATGTTATATGCTGACTAATGCTCTTCTTTAAATATATTCTTTTCAACTATCTGAAATGTATTCTTTTTAACCAATACACATACATTATACATATTTATGGAGTATCATGTGATATTTTAACATGTGTATATACTGTGAAATGTTTAAATTGGGTTAAACTTATCTAGTGCTTCATTTTTTTTCTTTCTTTTTTTGATTTTTATGTGTAGTTTTGGTGTCTATCCTGGATCTCACTCTGTAGACCAGGCTGGCCTCAAACTCACAGAGATCCGACTGCCTCTGCCTCCCGAGTGCTGGGATTAAAGGCGTGCGCCACCACTGTCCGGCATCTATTGTCTCTTTTAAACATGCTTATATAGGAGCTGATAAAAAACGAGAGAAAAGATGGAGATACAGCTTAAACAGAAAACACTGCATCCTAGGTTCATCACCTGAAGGCATTCTGAACACTTCCGCCAGGGCCGGTGTGACTACGTTGACCACTGGCCACAAGGGTCCTTAAGGGGCACATTAAAATCAGGTGGCACATCCATCTCAGCCCTTCCCCAACTACACAAAGAAGAAGCTGGTGACCCCAGTGTTTTTGCTTCTGGCTCTAGACAATATTAATTAGAAGGTTAATGTTCTGCTACTTTGTTATGTGAAATATTCCTCTTTGAAAATTAAACCCAAAGAACTCAACAGAGATTCTTCTATGGAAAGCAGACCAAATAATTGGTGACCAAATTTAGAAGCAGAGAGAGCCATTCTTATAAGCTATTTATAGTTAATGACTCCGTAAAGACCTTTCGCCTGCTGTAGTGGCTTTGCTTGTGGCATTCAGCATCTTGTTTTCCATATGAAGATTTGCCTTAAAAATAATTATTCATACAACATAATCTGGAGTAGCAAATCCTATCAGAGCATTTCCAAACCTCTTGAAAATAAGTCTTTAAAAAAAATACAAGAATAGGAATTAAGGAATGGGAAAGTCATTTCCAAGGAGGCTTTGCAATCTGTACACTGTATTTTACACTGTGCCATTCACTCTTTAATTCTTAGAATCTCTTCCTTAGAATTTCTGAACTTAAAAGAAAATTGGATTTGTCAAAATTAAGTGTTTTTTTGTCTCTAGAAATCATCAGAAGAGTCACTAGTTAATGCCTCCTCCCATCGATACAGTTTAAATGACAAGACAGCGTGCTCGTCACTACTCCTTAGTGAGGGCAGGCAGCGTTAGCAAATGATGGAGTCCGAGCTGAGATTATTTAGTTAGCTGTCTGCTCAGTTTTGGTTTGTTTTGCTTTTAAAACATGTACATATAAGGTCTGTTCTATCATTCAGTATTTTAAGATTTTCTGGTAATTATTAGAAGCCAACTAAATCCCCAACAACTGTAGACTCTCCTGAAAGGAAAGAGAGTGCACACCAGGAACTAGGGGAACGTGAGCTGTCTGACACGGGAAGGCAAGATTACCTGGCAATGTCCGGGTGTGGATCGACCAGGGTGCTGACAAAGCGAAAGAAGAGACAGCCCTTCCACTTCACGTATTCTTCCTGTGCGAGGGTGAAAGCAGCACACTTCAGGATGGACTCTGACAGGGAAACGTGAGATGGGCCAAGGGGCAGAGGCATTTGCTGGCCACTGCTCCACCTGGGACCCGAGTATAGTTTGATCGTGTTTACCTCCTAACCTCCTTCAAAGCACATAGCACTTGCCAGTTCAAAGAGATGTAGAGGAGTATTTGGGCAAAAACTTACCAAATCTACGGCATAAAGAAAATAACACAAAGAATATGGCTTCAATGGGCAGATCTATAATAATCCGTAATGCAGGAAAAGATAAGCTTATGAGTGTTTAGAAAAGATGTATAATCAGCTATTCCTTCTCATTATAGGCTAACTACAAGCTCTGAATGTACACGGAAGTATCATATGCTCTAGACAGCCCTGCAGCTCCCGATGTTTTAGACTGAAAACCGTTCACTGACTCCTGCAGCAATGCTGTAAGACAGTGCATTCCAAATATGATCTACATTTTAAAGCAAGAGCCATGATGGCTGAAACACATGGATGTGGCCAAGAGGAGCAGGGCGTCTTGGACTAGAGGCGCCTGTCCCCAAGTACGTCCTTCTGCAGGTCTAAAGACACAGAATCGCCCTGCTTCACATGGAATTCTGTACAAGTATGCCAGTGAACAGTAAACAAAGACTAAACAAAGATGAGAATAATTGTCTTTGATTCTACGACAAAGTAGGCATATCATTGTTAACTGAATGTTCCCTTAAACCAGTATGGTAAGCAGAAAAGGGCAGTCTGAGTCCTACTCATACCTGTAAGAGGTTGGTAAGCAAGATCAGTGTCTGCTTCCGGATAAATGGGTCTGAATCCTTCAGACAAATGGAAATATTGGGAATATAATTGTCCACCATGACAGTGTATCGGATACAAAGATCACACATCACAATGATGACATTGTTGCGGACAGCCACATCCTCACACACTTCAAGTTCTCGCACAAGGGCTGGGATGCTTTTCTTTGCAAGGTCTTCATGCTGTAAGCACAGTTTACCTATTACAGAAAAGAGGAAGATGTCTAGATTCCATACTTCAGGTTACACAGAGGAAACATATGCCCCAAGTCACAAACAACAGCAAGCTCACAGACAAATATTAGAAAGTTTAAAAATAGCACTCAAAAACATAAATCCCACAAGTTTCTTGAGACATGTGATTTTTCCTCTGCAATAATAAAATCGTCTTGCACTTAAAGTCATTCTTTGAATTTTATAGTTATCTACTTACCCACAAAATGACCAGTCAAACCTAACACATTTTAGTTTTGACATATACATGCTCTAAAAAACTTATTGAATTAAAAATGCAAGCTAGATAGCAGGAAAGAATATTGTGTCACTTTTTTTTTTTATTCAGTTAGAAGGAGACTGCTGAATTATATTCTCTAGTGTGTTTGCTTTGTGGCCTGGGGAATGTTTTGCTCTTACTTGTAATTCTTAGTTATTTTTATTTTTATTTTTTATTTATTTTTATTATTTATTTATTTATTTATTTATTTATTTATTTATTTATTTATTTATTTATTTATTTATTTATTTATTTATTTTTTAAGCCTACAGCACCTGGTATTCCCAGGTGGTCTCCCATCCAAGTACTAACCAGGCCCGACCCTGCTTAGCTTCTGAGATCAGACGAGATCAGGCGCGTTCAGGGTGGTATGGCCGTAGACTTTTTTTTTTGGGGGGGGGGACAATGTCTTTTATGTGCTGGAAACGAGAAAAACAAAAAAAAAACCCCACGAAGTCTCAAAGTACGAAGAAACGTGTTTACTGCGGAGGGTTCCCCTGCTTGTTTCTGGCCGTCTCTCAACAATCGCTCCTTCCCGCACCTGCCGAGACACATCCAGACCACAGGCACCCGACGCGGGCAGGAGGGGACGCAAATGCGTCCAGTCGCCAGAACCACCAGTCCAGATCTCCTTAGTTATTTTTAAAACAACCAATACCACAAAATAAACCAAAAGAAAAAAAAAAAACCCAAACCAAACCACAGCAGGGAACAAAAACCACCATTCCAAACTTTTCTACTATAAAATACATAAGCACTTTTAAAGACAGACTATTTCAATCATAGCCAGAGGTCAGTGTTTTCATGACAAACTATTTGAGTCTGTGGAGAAATGTGCTCACAACTCATCTGTCAGTTCTGGGAAATATTAAATAAACCATCTCGCTCTATAAACAGAACTTCAAACTTTCCATCCCTAAAACCCAGTGTAGTATCTAGACTACAATTCTTGTTTTGGGTGTGTGCAGACTCATGTGTATACACAAGTGTCGGTAGAGGCCAGAAGACAACCCTGAGTGTTCTCCTTCAAGACAGAGCTTCTCACGGGCCTGCAGTTTGCCAAGCAGGCTAGGCTGGTGGGCCGGGGAGCACCAGGGGTCTGACAGTCTCTGAATCCTCAGCACTGGGATTACAGGCATGTATCAGTGGACATGGCTTCTTTAACTATTTTTTATTTTAATGTATTTTAAGTGCATGGGTATTTTGTCTGCACATCTGTCACTTGGGTGCCTGGTACCTGCAGAGGACGAAAGAGGGCATCAATCTCCTAGAACTGAAGTCACAGGCAGTTGTGAGCTATGGGTGCTGGGACTCGAACCTGGGTCCTCTGGAAAAGCACCAGTGCTCTTAATTACTGAGCCATCTCTCCAGACTCTGGCATTTAAAAAATGTGGCTTCTAGGGATCACAATCAGGCCCTTGTGCTTCGTAGTTTGTAGCACTTTATCAACTGAGCCCTCTCCCGGCCTCTGAAATATGCTTGTTGACAGACTTCACAAGCTATACCGTGAACACTGAAAACAAACAAACAAAAAAAGCAAAACAAAACCCCCATAAAGACAGAAACAGGTGCATTTGAAATTAATTACCATAATCCTACAAAAGAATCTCCCTGTATAATGGTTTGTATGTAAAATGTCCCACTTAGGCTCACGTGATTAAATACTTGAATACTTGGTTCCCAGCTGATGTCACTGTTTTGTGAGGTTAGAGGTGGGAGGCATGGGTCAGTGTGGAGGGGTTTTGAGGATCCTATTTCAGCCTGGCTTCCGGCCAGAGAACCTCATTTCCCGTCTCCTGCTTTGCAGTGACCAGCCAGTGCTACCATGCTTCCACTCTGTAAAATGGACAGAGGCGCCCTCTGAAGCATGCACTACAGTAAACCCCTCTTCCTTGAAGTTGCCTCTGTCGGTATTTCAGCATGGCAATGAGAGATGTAATCACCACACAGAGTGACAGTCTCACAGGCTCACACTGTGAGTGCTCTGTTCCATCTGCAGAGCTGGTCCCTCACATCAGAATTAACTCTTAAAGTCATAAAAGCTAGAGTAGGCACAGCCTCAACAGCACATAGCACATTACTGTGGTGACGCTTATTTGAGACAAGAGCTATACAGACTACAGTCACATTTCTCCCATGGTGCCTTACCTAAAGTGATGATGGCGTGTGCTCTAATCACGGAAGGCATGGCAGAGCTTCTGACCTGGAAAGGCAGCTGACTGGCTAGGGCATCTGTACTCCCTTGAGATGATGGAACTGTGGGGAAGGAAGGGGAAATGAATTATTATTGAGACAGTTAATGAGCCTTAGGACGGAATGGTGCAGGGTATGACTTCAAAGGCCTTACGGTGATCCACGTGAGAAGAAGAAGCCAGAATCGACTGGATTAGAAGGAAGATTCGCTTCTCTACTATGGCTGGACATAACTGGGCTATATCTCCTATGGTAAAAATACATTTCACCTGCAAAGAGAATTGAATTTGTAGTAAAAGCAAGGCAAAACAAACCATTAAACTCTAGCTTGAGTAACATGTCAAAAGAGCATTATTTTGTCTCACAAATTACAAAACAATCACTACTTTTTCAGAAAATATACATGGCTATTAATAAAAATTTGGCTGCTACTTAATAAAATTCATTCCAAATTAGAATGACCATATCATTTTATCATCAAAATCCAGACATTTCTGTGAATTGGGGCTTCTATTAATAATCATGTTGTGATAGAAGGTGTCATCTCTTCATATTAATATATACAACAAATGCTTAAAGAATATAAAGATGCCATGTGAAAGCTATGGGCTTCATGATACTTTTGCTGAATAGTCTACAGTTAGTAGGTATTTCTTTTTTCTTTTTTTGTTTTTCAAGATGGTTTCTCTGTATAACAATGCTGGCTGTCCTGGAAGGAACTCTGTAGCCCAGGCTGGCCTCAAACTCAGAGAGATCCGCCTGCCTTTGCCTCCCAAGTGCTGGGATTAAAGGTGGGCACCACCATGCCTGGCATGGGTGTTTATTCTTACAATAGCCGGATGGAGACCTCTGTGAAACCTGCTGTTTAATTTTCCTAGCAGTGAAATCCAGACCGAAAGAGCACATAAAGGGCTGGGCGTCCAGCTCAACGGTAGAAAGCTGGCCTAGCATGCTCCAGGCCCTGTGTTTGATCCCCAGCACTTCAAACTAAATTTGTTTTTAGAAGCATGTAAACTCACTCTATATTGTAAAACAATTCCAATTTGTCCTCCAGGTTAGTTTACTGTTTTAAACTCCTGCTCAGAACACACACAAGGTCCATCTTCCTCAGAGCCAGCTACCACTATTCATGTTTTCTAGTGACATCCTGTTTTAATAAATACTATTATTTTTCTTCACCCCAAAGGTGAATGAGCATTATTAAAAAGTCAAAGGTCAGGTGAAAGGTTATTTTAGAGCTTAAAACAGTTGTACATGCATGCCTACAATCTTAGCGACTGGGGCAGGGGTGTGCTGGGAGGGTCAGCCCAAGCAACATAGCAAGATCTTGACTCAAATAAACCAAAACAAACAAACAAATAAATAACTCCTTAACCTTGTGGTAAGGAAGCCAATAGCACATGTATTTGAGTTTTAAAAAAAATCTTAAACATAAAACATGTTGTTTTTGCTAGCTGCTGTGATTTTCATTTTTTTTGTAACATTGGTGTGGGTAATGACTGACACTTGATAAAATCCAAGCCCTCTGAAGTCTGCTGACAGCATCTAGAGTCCCATAATGCTAATGCTTATCACAGAACGTGTGCACACAGAGCTGCTGGTAGAGCGGCCTTCCCTTCCAACTCTAACCCTGGTCTACAATCACTAACGGCAAGAGCAAAGCTGGCAGAGCAGGAACTGAACACAGACAGGAGGTGCTCTCCTCATTTACACAGAGGAGACACCAGCCGGGCTTGGTTAAATGACATCCATCCTGACGGGCATCAAACCATGGCCTATTTCCTCTAACAGACAACGTCAGATGCCAGCATCAGGACCATTGTTAACAGTGCTAACTGCCTATGTGTCCTGATTCAAGTGGTCTCTTATGCCGACACTACTATTAAAGCAGGAGTGCCCACCAAGATAACTGGCTCAGCAAACAGCATCTGTGTCCTGGCGGTCAAATCTCCCCTTTTATTTTGCACCTTACGAAAGCTCAGCTCTATTCCTCCAGTGCTACAGTCCAAAGTTTAAATAGCCCAGAAGACATGTTATAATTATTTTAAAAGTCAAAAGGCCAAACGGGGGCTGGAGAGATGTCAGCAGTTAAGAGCACTTGCTGCTCTTGCAGAGGATCTGAGTTTGGTTCCCAGCACCCACATCAGCAGCTCATGAATGCCTGTAGCTCCAGCTCCTTAGCATCTAATATCCTCCTCGTTTCCACAAGTATCTGCATTCACGTTCATATACCCGCCTCCTCCCAGCACACATAAACAAGCATACACATAACAAAAAAAAAAAACCCTAAAAAAGTAAGTTCTAAAAGCCTTTCTTTTTCTTGTCAATAGCAACTGAAACCCACATTACATAATCACCCTCGAAGAAACCCTACTGTAAAAAGATGAAGAAAAAGCAGCTGCTTACCACCAGGTCTTCATTCATGTTTCCCGCTCCATCTTCCTTCAGGAGGATGTTAGAGAGGTGGTGCTCGCAGGTGGAGAGCACATCCCCACACACTTGCTTCAGCAGTTCCTGCACAAGTCACAGGTTAGCTCTGACGGGTCTCATATGGCTCAGATGACTCACCAAGCCCAGTTCCCAGAACCTCCAGGCTCTTGGAAGGCAGGAAGACCCCAGCCACCACACTCACTGTTTTCACCTTTCCCATCACATGCCCCACACCACGGCAACACTTTCAGCATCCTGGCCATGGGAACTGGCTAAGTCAAATGTTGAAAGAGTATTGTGTATATCATCTTTCTTTCCACATTGGGAGGTGGAAGCGGGAAGATCCTGAGTGCCAGTTTGGTCTAGTTAAACAGAGAGCTCCAGGCCAATGTGTCTACATAGCTAGACACTGTCTTAAAAAAATAGCAGGGATCTGGAGACATGGCTTAGCAGTTAAGAGTACTTGGTCCATAATCATGAGGTCTTGACTTCAGATTTCAGCACATAACAAGCCAGGCATTCCCACGAATGCCTGTTCCACAGGGGCAGAGACAAGAGGATATTGGGGCTTGCTGGCTTCCAGCCTAGCTGAGGGTAAGCCCCAGGTTCAGGGGAAAGACCCTGCCGGAAAATTAATAGGTATGCAATGATAGAAGAAGACATCAAAGTCCTCTTCTGGTCCCTGTGCACATGCACATAGACCAAGACATAGATATAGACAGAAAGACAGACACAGACAGACACACAAATATGCACACATACAAACAGAAGCTGTTATTCTTCTGTAATATTTTAGGTACAAGTGTTTAGTGTCTCTTACTGATTCTAGTTCCAGGGGGTCACTGCTACTCACAACATACAACCACATTTCTGTGCCCAAGAGCATTCTCAAAACCCAGAATTCCTGAGCTTCATTGGCCACTCCAAAATACCTAGGTGTAGTGAAGTGTCTCCACAGAAGTGAACGCTAGGACATATCCTTCTATTTCAGGGAGAACTGTACTGCAACGACACTATCTGTAACATGTATGCCAGGGGCTTTCACAGACCAGCTTAGGGATCGCCCAGTGCACGTGGCACTAGAGCAATGTGGTGCCACACTTGCCAAACATCAGGAAATCACTACCACAAGAGACACAATGTGACCCAGCCTAGCAAACCACTGTGTTTGTTACCCCCCCCCCCTTTTTTTTTTTTTCGGAGACAGGGTTTCTCTCTGTCCTGGATCTCACTCTGTAGACCAGGCTGGCCTCGAACTCACAGAGATCCACCTGGCTCTGCCTCCCGAGGGCTGAGATTAAAGGTGTGCCACCACCGCCCAGCTTACTTCTTTTCTTTTTAAAGACAGGGTTTCTCTGTGTAGCCCTGGCACCAGGAACTCACTCTATAGACAAGGCTGGACTTGAACTCAGAGATCCACCTGCTTTCTGAGTGCTAGGATTAAAGGTATGCACCACCACCATCTGGCATGTGTTTATCACTCTTAAAAGAATAATCACACCTATGACTTTTAATAGATTATACAACCTAACCGCCACTTGTTGGCCAAGAGAGCTCCTGAAATCAACCGGCCTTAATCCTAAGAAAGAAATAAGGGCTGATGTATAAAAGCTTAAAGACAAGGACCTCAGTGTTCTGAGATAACTACTTAGAACCACAGAGCCTGGGAAAGCTGTCAAGGCCAAACAATTCTGGGATCCTTGCTACACCACAGCTAATGTCCAGTTTCGGTACAGCTTCTTGTGAGCACCGACAGTGACTCAGGACAGGTACCAAGACAAGTCCCTTTATTTCAGGCACACTTCCGTAAGTTTGCTTCAGTTGGCTGAAATCTGCTCCCTTCTAATTTTCAAACACTTGTATAGATTGGGCATCTGGGTACACCAAATAAATTCAATTCTTTTCTGTCAAAGTCTTCATATATCTGAATTTAGCTAGGCAGCCCGCCTCACATAGCTTCTTACATGCTACACAATTTGCTTCACAATCCCCTCATCTAACTGTCTTCCATATAAAGTCCATCTGTCAACATGTTTCTAAAATGGTATCACTGAAACTGAGTTACAGAAAACAGCTCGGACCTTAAGTTTAGCTAGGACAAAGAGCAGGACCATTGTCCCTCTTATTCTAGACACTTTCTTTCCCCACTAATGTAGTTCAAGCTTTCACCAAGAGTTTAATGACATGCACAGAATACCCACTCTTACCAAGCTTAACAGATCCCCAAACTGTCCAAGACCTAAGTCTACGTGGGCACTGCTGCCGAGTGGTGTACTGGTCACTTCTTGTTCTCAGTAACATACAGAACGCTGATTTACAGAGGAAAACCAGAGAGAAGTGTGTTTACATGGCCTTAGACACCCTAGGATGCCAGAAAAATCACAAGGTCTTATTCTACCATTGACTACCAAGGGAGATGTTGGCAGAAAAAAATGTGGCCACTTTCCTACTGAAGGGAGAAGCACCTTGGCCTGAGTACTGCCATTTTGACTTCAGACTCCATTTTACCAGGTGAAACACAGTTCAAGTTCCCAAGCCCTAGCGGATCTGTGAGGTTTCCAATGGCTGACCAACCTCCTCCTTAAACAATAGAAATAGTCTGTTATGCCCCTTAGTTCTTTAAAAAATTACGGCTATTCCTAACAGAAAGAACAATCGAATCTGACTGGCTGGACTGAGAAGCTCCCATTCTGTGACAGCTGACAGAACAGAACACACAAGCAAAGTCCCTGATATCTGATCCGATCGGTGAAAATTTGACCTGTAACCTGGCAATGTTTGTGATTTTTGTGTTTATAAACCCTGCTTCTGCCCCTGTTCCGGGCTGTCAGGAGAAACAAGGCTCCCGCGTCCTTGTCCTGCAGCCCTGATCCATCAGATCAGTGGCCCGCGTCTGTGGTGATTTAATAAAACCTTAGGAGCCGGAAGCGTTGTCTCTCTCCTTCCCTGTGGAGCCCAACGGACTGGGTGTGACACTGCCACAGTCCAGCTTTCTTTAGCTCTTTGTCTCTAAATCTGAAGACAGGTTTTTTTCTGTTCTCCCAGGCTCTAGTAACAATCTGACCGAACAGCCTGATGACCACGGGCATTCATAAGACGAGCCCACAGCAGAGACGAATTTTCTAGCATGCCAGGAAAGGACCGAGACCTTCCTTCTAACCCTAGTTCTGCCATGAGTAGGGTGTGTGCCACTGGTCCTTAAAGTCTGCCACCAATTTTCCCAAGATCTCATGCCAAACAACATAGCACCAGTTATTTTTTTCTTATTGTTTGATAACTGTTCAACTGTGCTCCAAGAAATCTGATGGCCTCCATGGGTACCCTCACACACATTGCACTCATCCACAAAGACACACATACAGGTCAATGAAAAATTTAAAAACTAAGAAAAAACATATCTCATGATAAAAGCAGATGACAGTAATGATTTATTAGAAATACTGATATGGGGGGGGCTGGAGAGATGGTTCAGCGGTTTTGGGTACTGGCTGCTCTTCCAGAGGACCTGGGTTCAATTCCCAGCACCCACATGGTGGCTTACAACTGTCTGTAACTCCTGTTCTGGGGGACCCAACACCCTCATACAGACATACATGCAGGCAAAACACCAATGTATATAAAACAAAAATAAATAAATAAAAGGTCCCTCAAAAAAAGAAAGAAAGAAAAAGAAAAAGAAAGGAAGAAAGAAAAAGGGATAAGGAAGAACTACTGATATGGCTGGTGAGGTTACTCAGTGGTGAGGAAGCTCAGCGGGCAAAGCGCCCTGCTTCCTGCCAAGCCTGACTATCCGAGTTCTAGCCCTGGGCCCACCTGGTGGAAGACAGAACTGACTCCTACATGTTGTCTTCTGATCCTCACACAATTGCCGCCAGAGTCACATTAAATACATAAAACTTAAAAAAAAATACTGATAGGAGAATTTTCCAGTAGTGGGCAAAGTAACCGTCTTACATAAAGTATTCATTTGGATTTGTGACTATTTATTCATATAAAAATTACTAGAATTGATAACATATTTGTAAGAAGTTACAAGTTGGCAAGACAACTTTGGAGACACAATACCAGCAGGAAACACTTGCGTGACTAACTAACGGCACAGGCATTCCCAGGAATATGATAGAGCAAAAGATCAAACACCATCTGCTGTGCCTGGAACTCTACAATTAGGTAAAAGACAATGAATGTCTTAAACACCCTTGGAATGTTCAGGCTATCATCACTCACTCAACGATAATTTTGCAGAACTGTCCCCAGAAAGATAAATATCAATCAAGAGGCACCCATTACATTAGTATGTGGAGTCAAAGCAGGGATGGATCTAAGGGAGCCGTGTCTTCAGCAGCCAGCTCTTAAGGAAAGTCGGCCGCTGGACACATGGCCGCTGGACACACGGGTGCTGACGTACTGCAAAGCTAATGGGGACCGCTCTCCTCCCAGGCTCTCTAGTCACAGACCACACTCCTCAGACTTCTACGGAGCAGCATGTTCAAGCAGACGTTGGAAACGCAGGAAGGGTGTGCGGCCATACCTGCTCTTCCTGCAGTGTCTTTGCAGACGCTCTGCAAAGCCCCTGCAAAGTGTCAACAGACGAACTGATCAACTCTAGAGACCACCGAAATCCATTCAGCTTGCCTTTGACAACACCTAAGGAAAATGAAAAACCTGAAATTTAACCGCTTAAAATTACACAGAACCATGGAGGGGGGAAAAGGCTGCCGTAAATGGCAAGGCCTCAAGACAGTCTCCATTAGACTCACCGGTTATTTTGTCCCGGGTGCTCCTGGGAAGGTGCTTTGCAATATGCCCAATGACACACAGCATATAGCCTAAGGTGTTTGAATTGGGAGACTGTTCACTAGGGAAAAGGAGAAAGGGCCAAATGAGACAGCATGCTGCCAAGAGGACAACCACAACCACAACCACCACAACCACCACAACCACCACCCATTGCTTCTGGATTGTTAATATTAAAGGTGGAGTAGTTAACACGGTTTAACTGAGGTCTGGACACAGGAAGGTCTTAATGAGCTTGGACAAAGGTAAACTGCTCAGATGTGATTCTTATTTTTCAAGCTTGGTTTTAAGCAATAGCTTAAAGGTTTAAAGCAACAGCTTTGGAGCAGGCCATTTCCTGAAGACATGAGCTTTGCTTCCAGCCAACTGGTGTCTGCTGGTGGCTACTTTACAAGCATGCAAACCTGCTGAGCTTCTCCCAGGACTCCATTATTTTGGTGTAGTCCAGCTTGGGTGATGAGCAAGTGATCTTGGAGAGCAGCATCCACGCTGGTGCAGAGTGTTCTGTGTCAGTGTGGGATATCACACTGTTTATAAAGGCGGATGAGAATTTATCTTTCTTGGACCAGATACGAAAAGCCTTATTTAAATAGCGGCTGGGAGAAAAAAAGAGAAGGAAAAGGAGAAATGTAACCATCAAAATACCAAAGTATTCAGACCAACCTCTCATTGAGAGGGTATCAACTTCTGCAGATGCAGGATTTCTCTGGCACATAAAACATCCACTCAGTGAGTCCAGCTCTTTGCATATCTGATACCAAACAAGGTGTCTTCTTAATTTTCCCTTCAGAATAAGTTGTCCTTATTATGCGCCCTCACAAAATACTATTTACAATAAAGAAGAAAACTGCAAAATCGCCCCTCCAAAATTTTCACACATATAGCTTACTATAACAGCTCGCCCATGTTGCTAGGAACAAAGTAACAGAAGAATAGATACGGTGTCCTTCATTTAATGAGATACTGGAGAGAAAGGACACCCTAGCATTTAAACATGGCATAGCAGATGAGCTGAAACTTGCTATACCTTAGTAATATGCAAACAAAATCGAAAGTGCTTCCAAAGTATCCATGTCACTGTTTTTGTGTGTCACGTGGCAGGTCCATGTTCTGGAGGTTGGCTGACTGCCTTCTGGAACTCACTGTTCAACTACACAAGCTGGCCAGCAAACCTCAAGGATCCTCCCAACTGCCTTCCCAGTGCTGGCATTGTGGTCACGTGCCACCATGCTCCTCTTTTTTTTTTTTTTTTTTTTTAAATGGGGAATGGGGATCCAAAATGCAGGTCTCCAATCTTGTGGGGCAAGCACATTTCCAACTGGTGCACTCCCTACCCAGTGCCCTTCACTGTTGTTTTTAAATCACTTTTATTTTCTTTCCATAGTATGGAATGAGATGAGATGATTCATGAGACAATGCCACATTGTGTATTTGAAAGAAGATAAAAACACAGCTCTCAGGGCTAGGGATGGCATGTGCAACACACTAGATTCAATCTCCTGCCAAGAGAAAGGATGGAGGGAGGGAAGCAGGAAGAGAAGAAATAACAAACTGTAATTTTTATCCTTCTTTTGTGCGCTTGTAACACACTTCCTACCAAAACTGACTTTGCTTTGTGAAATTCCCACCAGATTAAGAGCAACCTAAATAGAGTGAGGTGTCAAGTCCTGCAACTTTTGAGCACTGAGAGCCGGGCATTGAAAATGAAGTACTTAAGACGTTTGCTAACTGAACACACTCGACTTCCTCTTCCGGGTCCTTCTACTCTCCACCTCCAACACTTGCTAAGCAGCTCTGAGACACCTCCTTCCTCCAGTTCACTGGCCCCCCCTTATTCTGTCCTTGTTACACAGGCCTGTGTTCTCAATCTCCAGTTTAGTCCCCTTGGTCTCCAAACACAAATTCATTCTCTGTAGGTCCTAACGTGTCAACTTCTGTCTTCTCCCTCCATATAAGCTCACCAGCAACTTCCTCCTTGCTATTCTGCTTTCAACATACCGTCAAGCTTCTTGGCATGTTGTATTGCAATGCTCCTGTTTAATTTGGGTCCCAGGTCCCCACAGTCACAGCAGACATCAATGCACTGAGGTGCTAGTGCAATACACACACCCTCATGCATTTGGGGCTGTTTCCTCTCCTGGTTGTCCTTTTGCTTCTTACTAGCTTTCCAGAATCAGTTCAGGGAGCTGGAGAAACGACCCAATGGTGAAAAAGCCACATGGCTCTTGCAGAGGCTCAGAGTTTGGTTCCCAGCAGCCAGGCTGGGCTGCCACCAACTGTAACTCCAGCTTGGGGGATCTGAGGCCTTCTGGCTTCTGTAGGCACCCACACTCAAGTGCACATACCCCAGAAAGATATACAGACACACAAACAATTTAAAAAATAAAACAAATCTTAAATAAAAAGTCAATTCAAAGGTCAGTGCTATCCTATAAAGTACCTGCTCTCTGTTGATTAAAGATCTTAACGTAAATCTTGTATATTACTGTTTAAAGAGCTCTTTATTTTATCAGCCCTACTGTTCTTAATAGTGCTTTTTGGGGGTGCGTATTATGTATGTATCAGCATCGGTGTGCATGTCTGTGGGTGGGTGTGCACAGAGCACATGCAAGCACACACACATGCGTGTGGATGTCAGAGGTGACTTCCTCCAACACCCCCCATCTGATTTGTTCTGTTTTTATTCACATGTTGAGAATGCATGTCTGTGTGTGTACCCGTGGGTGTGTGTATGTGCAGGCCACAGGTCTATGCCAGGAGACTTCTTCCATTTCATTTATTTAAAACAGGGTCACTTACTAAAGCTGAAGTTCACCAGTTTGGCTACACTATGTGGCCAGCAAGCTGGAATTCTCCTGTCTCTGCCTTCCTTAGGTTAGGATTACCATGCCTGGCCTTTCATGTGTGTGCTGTGGATCTAAATTCAAGGCCAGAATGACTCTGGTCCTCACGCTCACCTAGCAAGCACTTTACCGCTGAGCCATCTCCCGGCTCCATCCACCTTTCCTGAACTGAATCTGGAGTTCACTGAGCAGCCAGGCTTACCAGCCAACGAGCTCCATCCATATTCCCCTCTCCATCCCCAGCACCACATTAACAGCTGTCTGCTGCTGTGGGTGCTGGGGATTCATACTTGTGGACCAGGGACACCACTCAGCAAGCCATCTCCCCAGGCCCTCTATTAGTACTTTTTACTTTTCAAACTGATTTCCAGATCAGTGGCTCTCATATCTTTTTCAGTGTGAGACTTCTTTAAATTGACTCACTCGCTTATTCATGTCTATGTATTTTAAGGGCGCTGGGCCTTGTACATACCAGGGAAGTACTCCTGCCACTGAGCTACACCCTATGTAGAGATCCCTTTAAATTCTTTAAAATTCGTGATCACCTCTAAAAAAAACTTTTGCATATGTAGGATGGAAGGACACGGACACACACACACACACACACACACACACACACACACACACA